TCTTTAAAAAATATCATTATTCTGTCATTGAATAATAAAAATTCTACGAATGTTAAATTACAAATTTATCCTTAAACTATTTTAGATTTACATAAAAAAGTCTATAATTAAAATTTTATATGAAATTCAGGGGTTAAAATAAAATTTTACCCTTTCATTAAACCTTTTTATATTTTCAATTTTGTAAAAAAAATATATAAATTTTATGAATTTAAATTTTTTTAAAGAAAATGTATAAATGTTTTCCAACTTGTTTAAAAAACAAATATATAATAAGGACAGTTTGGTCAAATATATATTCCAATAATCTTTTATTCATTTAACCAAACACGGTAATCTTACATTCCTGCTAAACCAATCAAACACAAAATACAACATTCTCAGTAATCCTATTCCCAGGTAATCTTTTATTCCCACTGGTAATTCCGTGAATCAAACGCACCCTAAGTGGTTTTCTACTTTGAAAATGGTATTTTTGCACGAGGGGTTTTATTGGAATTGAATAAGTGGACCAAATTGAAAGGATCTAGGAATCAGTTTAACAATAATACGAATATTTTTCCACCGTCAATAAAGCCTTTGGCAAGTGTTTGATATAACACACAATAGAAGAAGACAAATTTCAACTTTGTTGAAAGTTGCCTTCCCGTTGGAATTAAGGTATATTTATCCTCAATTAATTTATAACCCTTTAACCATTATAAATAAAAATATTTTTTTAAATCTATTAAGCCGCCTTTAATAAAAGATAATAAAAAGTTTCATTTTTATTAAAAAAATTAAAATTCAAACAATTATATACATGATACTAAATTATCAATACTTAAAAGATTTTAAATAAATATAATTTTTTTTTGAATTAATCACTTATATCTGATTTATCGATGGACTAATCAAGATTAGGTTTTACAAAGGTCTATTATGAGAGCGACCCTCTCAATCCAGTTTGCTTCATACCCAAACGTCAGAATTCGAACCGCTGATCTTACTTAAAGAATTATATTTGTTTAATAAATATAATTATTTAATCAGCTCACACTATTTAAAAAATATAAAAAGTAAATTTTCAACTGATCAAACTTAACCTTAATAATCGAAAATAAATTGTTATCAGGCCCAAAACCCAAGAAGATCGGTGGTCCTCATGGTTACCTTTCATGTCATCTGTTTTTTTTAAAGATCACATGGCCAAAACCGGTCGGTTCAAATGTTTCCTTTCACACTTTAAAAAAAACCCTAATTTGAGTTGCCTTACTCAGTACGCATATCTCAATTTGCCCACTTGCCCTATTGTTTTCTGTTTTCAAAGGAACAAAATTCGAATATTTATTTTTATAAAATTATCCACAAGCCTCTAAAACAAGCAGCTTTTATATTTCAACGGATTGGCCTTTGTTTCATGGCCAGTGTCCGACACACTTTCTCGTATAGCCTTTCTAAGACTGTTTTCTTGGTGTTGAACTGCGGGGGGAAAAACTTGGTTTTGTAAATGACCGCTTATGCATTATCTCATGTGTGAGACATACAAAAAGGTAGCCAACAAGAAAGGAAGAGTCGTCGACCAAGACTAAAGGATTCTCGATGCACCAGTTGATTATGATCGGAGAAGAAGGCTCGTCATTGATGTTATCGGAGGTTTGTAGGGAAAGGGAGATGTCGGTAATGGTTTCAGCTTTGACTCATGTCGTCGCAGGTGATGTGCCTCCAGATGATGAGGAGCTTTCAGGAAATGAAAACTCTGATGGTTTTGGTTCAAGTAATCCTTCGTTCGGGTTTGGTGGGCAAAAGAGAGGAAGAGAAGAAGAGGTAGGTGGCGGAAGGATGGCGGTTGAGCCTGTTGCTAAACTTTGTACGCAGTTTGGTAACTTCCCACATGGAGGCTGCTCATCTGGTGCAGCACAAATGGTCCCAACCTACGAATACAGCTGCAATGAGGTTTTCAAAGAAGAGCCGAGAAGGAGATACAGGGGGAGTGAGACGGAGGCCATGGGGCAAGTTGGCGGCTGAGATACGTGACCCTTTCAAAGCAGCTAGAGTTTGGTTAGGCACATTCGACACGGCCGAGGATGCAGCCAGAGCCTACGATGAAGCAGCTCTTCGGTTCAGAGGCAACAAGGCCATGCTCAACTTCCCTGAAAACGTCAAACTCATAACACCTCCTCTACCCCATCAAACAACAACAACAACAAATTTCCCCATTCCTAATCCCTCAAACACCCTTTTCTCGGTTCCAACATCAACCGACCCAATCGTTCACTCTCAGTCTCATTACATGAACCCGAACTCTCATGTTGCCGGTGGATATCCGACCTATTCTCAGCATATCTTGGGTCCTTTCAACAATGATTTTCCAAGACAGCTACAGCAGCAAAATCAGCCCATATATCCATACGACCAAATAGTTTTGTCAGGTTCATCGGTAGGTTATCATGCACAACCGTCATCATTGTCTTCTTCTTCGCCACCGGCCTCATATCCAATTGTTTTTCCCGTTCAAACGGCGGGTTATCATCTCAACTTGGGTAACAGTCAAGGTGGCAGTGTTGGAGATTTTTCACTGCATTCTTGGTCACTAGATTCTAGTCATTGCACTTCATCCTCTAAATAGCACATTTATCATTTTTTCGGCGTTTTTAGTCATTTTATCAGTGTTTTGAAAACCGGACCAGACCGGCTGGTTCAACCAGGAACCGTTGCCTTGTCCGGTTCAATCTAGACCGGTTGAACCGCTACTAATGAACCGGTCGGAACCGCTGAACTGTTCAAACCAGACCGGCTGAAAACTGAAAAAACCGGGGAAAAAAATGGAAAAAACCGCCAATTTTGTTTTTATAAATTAAACCAAACGACGTCGTTTGTTAAACGAGCCAAGTCGAACTCGAGTATTGCTGAGCTCGACTCGAACTTGAAAAATTTAAAAGTAAGCTCAACTCGACTCAAACTCACGAGCTAAAAATTATCAAGTTAAACTTGAACTCGAAATATAATATTGAAACTCGAACTCGAAATATAATATTGAAACTTGAACTCGAAAAGACTTGAACTCGAAAAGACTTGAACTCGAAAAAATTTAGAATCTCGATTGAAGTCTAAAATTCGAGCTTGATTGAAGTGAAAGAATAGTTCACTCAATGTTCACCAAAAGGCTCCATGATTTTGAATGCCAAATTACATTTATTATTTATAGAAGTTAGTTGGGATGATCTTCTATGTTTCTTAGCCATGTGGGATTGTTTTAAAAAAAATAAATCAAACAATATCATTTTGTTATGATTTTTTAGCCCCAAATTTATTTTTTAATTATAGTTATATAATTATATTTATTATTTAATATGTTTTACCTTAAATATTATGTTGTAGTTAATTTGAATCATTTTGTTTCACTTGATTTTATGGTTTTTAACTTATATATGTTATGACTTGCTTTGAATATGAATTGTGATATAAAAAATTATTTTTTATTTAAATATTTTTGGTATTTTTATTTAATTTTTTAAATAATTATGACGTCGTCCGATTCTTCCAATCGATCGGACCGGTTCGACCGGTTAAACAAGTGAACCGGTAACATGACCGGTTCGCTAACCGGTCCGGTTATGAAAACCATGCATTTTATTGCGCTATATATTGTGATTAAGGTTTTCTTTTCTCACTTTTACTTCATTAGGGGTTGGATAGCATATTTCGAATTTAACTGTTTTAAGAAATAGCAGTTTTCTTGTTGTTATGAAGAAGTTTTATATAGGATGTTTAAGCACATTCTACACATTAATTTTTTTAATGAAACAAATTTAAAATACTAATTCATCATCCTTTGTCATTTCTTCTTTAATAAAATTTAGGGTAAATTATGTGTTTCGTACCTAAACTATAAGTTTTGGTTCGTTTTAATACTTAAACTTTTATTTTTTAAATTATACCTAAAATTTAATTTTTGTTTCATTTTAGTATCCCCTATTCAAAATTTGACGTTCAATTTTGTAAAAAATTGAAAGTTTAGGTACTAAAACGGACCAAAACTGATAGTTTTGATACTAAACACGTTAAATTTTTAACGGTAGTACTAAATGAAACAAAAAAAAATAAAGAATGAATATGATTTTAAAAAAATTACAAGTTTAGATACTAAAACGGATCAAAACTGATAGTTTGATAGTTTAGGTACTAACTATGTAATTTACCCTAAAATTCACTATCATGTCAAAATCACATTAAGGTCGACAAGGTGAATTCTTGTATAAAGAGATACCTTCTTGATTTTGATCACCAAGAGTTTGTCAATCAAAAACCTATTTTAATTAAATTAACTTTTAGCGAGGAGATATTTTTAATTAAAAGTATTTTTTATCAATTAAATTTATAGTGTCATAATGAATTGTCACTCCATTTTTAATCGATATTAAATTTTATATGAATTTGAAATAATATTTTCTTTTGAGTTTCATACAATCTACAAATTAAAAAACTTGAACCTTAAACCGATTCATTTGAAGGAGAGTCTTGGATTGTTTAGAGCCTTGGAGGGACATTGACAGGTTTTTTAGGTCATCGTTTTTCTTTTTGTCTACCGTGTCACTTGCGCCTAATGAAACAGTAGTCACTGTTGTGTTCCGACTATGGAGCATTTGTACGAAGCAAATAAGCAATTGCATTTTTTATTGTCAAAAAAAAGAAGCTTTGAGAAGTTACTGTCAAATCACACGAAGCCCATAGAAGAAAGTAGCAATCTAATAAGCCCAAAATTATCGGGTGACCTAAATTTTACACTGATCCTTCGAATCTCGACCGTCCAAACCCTAAACCCGTATAGAGAAACCCTAACTCATATAAGCGGCTACAGCCCTAACTGCAATCCTCTTTATAAAAACCTTCTACTCAACATTTCCTCAAACCAGCATCCCGAAATCGAATGCACTGCTCAATGTTTTTTTCTCTTATTCTTTTAAAATGTAGGTTTTTTTTTCCTGTAATTTTTTTATTTGTTTTATTGGAATGAAATTGGTCTATGATGATAAATCCAAAAGGCTTGTTTCTCAGAGACATTCGCAGTGGCCGCCTGACAGCTTTCGCCTTTCGCCGGGCTTGAGAGCTTCTGCTGTTTTGCTCCTTCCTTGGATGTCTGAGACTCCTTTTTCACCCCTTTTTTATTTCCATATATAATTTTCTAAATGACAATGCAATGCAATGATCTGTTTTATGCCCTGTTTAGGTTTTTATTGTCTATGCTGCTCCATTTTTTTTCTCATTATGATCGTGCTTGAAAATCCTCCTTTAGTTAATGATGTTTCTGTTTCTTAAAAGTTAGAATTTATTATTATAAATGATGTCTTTTGTGGTGTTGATGATGACAAATCCAGAGGCTTGTTTCTCAAAACATTCGCAGTGGCCGCCTAAGAGCTTTCGCCTTTCGCCGGGCTTGAGAGCTTCTGCTGCTTTAATCTTTCCTTGGATGTCTGAAACTTAACATTACTTTTTTCAGAAAAAAATAATTGCTTATCGCAAACCTCTGCTATTCATGTTGTCAACAAATTGAAATTTAAAGTGCTTTGAACTCGGCCGCGCTGTAATTAGGTGCGAAGTCAGTTTTGTGTTCATGAAACCTTTTGTGTTATGCATAAATTCAACTTTCATTATGCAACCTTAACACAATACTCTGATCGGAGCTTAAAATTGGTTGTCAGATGCCTGCTAAACTAAACCCCCTCTATGACCAGAGAGGAATTCATTTAAAGGAAGTGGAAAATATGAGGACACTAAACATGATCTTTATAAACCTATCGAACAATGGAGTCGGACCTGAGCCACTTGTGGAAAACAGATAAAACATATCAGAAATCAAAGGCAACCAAAAAAGGTTAAAGAAATAAGGACACTCGGAGAATGATATTATTAGAATGTAATATTATTTTAAGAATATTATATTATCTTGTTTAATAAGAATGTAAAATTATAGTACTTGATTAAAGCGATATAAATTAGTTGAACGCATATTTTATTAAATTATATATTTTTATATATGTTTTTTAAAATTAAATTTTATTATTAGATTATAAATAGTTGAATAAAAATTTATAAAAAATTTAATTGTCATACTATTTAAATAAGAATATAAAATTATAGTACTTGATTAAAGTGATATAAATTAGTTGAATGCATATTTTATTAAATTATATATTTTTATATATGTTTTTTAAAGTTAAATTTTAGTATTAGATTATAAATAGTTGAATAAAAATTTATGATTTTTTAAATTGTTATACTATTTAACTTTTGAGAAAAAAAATATTTAATATATAATTAGTATATTAAACTTATATTTTTAAATAATTTTCATGAGTATCATGTTTATTTATATAAAATATAATATAATATAAAAAATAATATTATGGTTTTGAGTGGGTAAAAATATTATTTTTATTAACTTATAATTATTACAATTTTACAATAATATTAATTTTTACCTCATAAATTATAAATAATTAATGTATTGAATATTAAAAATATAAAATAAATTTAAATATTTAAATTTATTAATATTTTATTAAATTAAATATTCTTTATATTATTATTATTATTATATTTAGGGTAAAGTATAGTAATGGTCACTGAACTTTTCTAAAACTTTCATTTAAGTCCCCCAACTTTTAAAACTTGCAATACAGTCCCCCAAAATTTAGTCTGTTTGCAATATGGTCCCCACACAGTTACGTCGGGGACCATATTGCAAAAGGACTAAATGTTGAGGGACCATATTACAAACGGACTAAATGTTAGGGGATTATATTGCAAGTTTTAAAAGTTGGAGGACCTAAATGAAAGCTTTAGAAAAATTCAGTGACCAGTACTATACTTTACCCAAAAAAATTATTTTCTCTGTTTTGACATTTATTTTTTTCTTGTTTTCTTTTCTTTTTTTAATGAAAATTTTAAGTATTTTCAGCCTATTTTTGCTACAATTAAACCCACTATTTTTAAATCTTTTTTATCATTTGATTTAAGTCATCTTACATTTTAACTTAATACTCTCATGTTTGGATCACAAATATTATCTTGAGATATAATCTTACGTTATAAACAAGCAAAAATTTTGAAATAATTTATGTTAAGACAACACATGCAAAATGCAAAGAAAATGTAATTGTAAGTGAATCGAGTAAACTTTAATGCAAATTTAGATAATAAAATACATTAATTAAAAATATAAATAAAATAAATGTTTGAAAATGAATAAGATTAACTATGTGTGCAATTACTATAAATTTCATTCCCCCATAAAGTATATGCTAATCCTAGGATAGCCGAACGCATGCATGTTTGGAATAATATAAAAATTAGGGTAAAGTATAGTAATGGTCATTGAATATTTTTAAATCTTTCATTTAGGTCCCCTAACTTTTAAAACTTGCAATATAATCCCCTAACATTTAGTCCATTTGCAATATGGTCCCTCAACATTCATTCTGTTTGCAGTATGGTCCCCGACGTAACTGTTGGGGGATCATATTACAAACAGACTAAATGTTGGGGGACTATATTGCAAGTTTTAAAAGTTGGGAGATCTAAATGAAAGATTTAGAAAAATTCAGTAATCATTACTATACTTTACCCTTATAATTATAACTTTGAGTAAAGTGCGGATTTTTTTTTTTTTTTGAGAAAGATTGTTATAAAATGAATTCATTAGTCTACGTTTATTCTTATTCAAAGTGGTGGTAATTGTTTAGTATTATTGAAAAAAATATTATTTATTGGTAATAATCTTTTCTGTGAATTAAATGTGAGAATACAATTCCAAAAAAAAAATTCTCCTTTGTAATGATATTTCTGCGAATCTAACACCACTCTAGACGAACTCCAATTTGACCTAGATACGGACTACAAACTTGATTAGTTAGATTTATAGTATTTATTGGAGCATTTATCTAACTGACCATATCCTAAATGTACTTTTTGATATATTTGAATCTTACATCTTAGGCTAATAATGTTTTGATTTTAAATCTATTTTCTAAAATATGGTTGTTTCTCAAAAATAGGTCAACAAATGATATTTATTTTTAATGATCTATTGATATAATTGATGATAATCAATACCGAATTACATGGTATTCTCGACTAAGAGTGACAGTGGTGCGATTCGAACTCGACCTTACAAGCTCAAATTCCTGAATCCTAACTACACTATATATACTATACTATAATATAAACATTATTATAAATACTATATATAAATATGTATGTATGTAATATACTAATAATATATAGATATCATGTATATTGTATAATATAATACATATATACTATATACTTATAATATAAATAATATATATTATAGTATAAATATAACACTATATAAACTATATGATATATGTAAAAGATGTAAAATGGTTCCGGACGAAAATAGATGTCTACACATACCTCTCTTTCATCCATTATTATGCAACGACAGTAGGACAAAGAAGAAAAATACAGAAATTTACGTTCGGTGTACAATTCAAATATGAGTGGACAAAATAATCTTTTTGTGAAGACGGATTCTCGAAGGTAATCTCGTGTCGTCATAACGTGTTGAAATTAGCTTCTCGGGTCAAGATGAGTGGGAAATAGCTCCTTGTTGTCGAGTTAAACTACGCCAGATGACTCCTCCATTTCAAGTTAAGTTGATTTTAAAATAGTTCTTGAATCGAGCATCATTCGTTGTGAAGTTGAAACTAGACTCGAAAATCTTGGCTGGAAGATAGCTCTTCGCTGCTGAGTTAAGCTAAATTGCATGCGACTCCTTCACCACAAGTTGGGTTGATTTTGAGTGTGCTTTCAAATCAAGTATCTTTCGAAAAATCATGACCGGAAAATAGCTCATTACTTTTTCATGCTTGTATTTTAGCCCTCCGAATTTGTAAAAAATACTTATACACCCCTAATAAATGAGTTGTTATATATATATATATATGTGTGTGTACACACACATATATACCTATTTCTTACATGAATGATAGTAAGATATTGATATGATTACTTGGATTGTTTATATGATATTCAATGTAGTCTTCATATGATATTAAGTCCTTTGTATCGTTTGAATAATTCGGGTGTAAAAGTTTTAAATTAATTTGATTTCAGCTCTAATTTTCGAATGTAACGTCTTCTAAGTAAGATAATTGTACCGAGCAAAGGGTATTACATTTAGCCTGATAGACAATTGACATAGAATAACTTGATTTACTTGATCAGTTTCACCATCTAGATAGAACATACAACTAGCAAATTAGCATGACATGTCTCATGATACCCAAATCTACCTTTTAGAGACACCACTTTTTCTCATCTTGTTATATGAAGCTGCCACATGATACGAAGGCAGAAAACATATAGGAGGGTCCTTTCTCTCCTTACAAAGGAGGAGGATTTTGATTCCGACTCTACTCTCCACTTTTTCTCTTCCCTTTTCTTGGTCTCAGACTATCTGATTTAAATCTCATTGCCACTAATTTCTCTAACCATCCTACTTACAATTCTCTGTCTAAATCAAATTGAATGAACCATCAACAACAGCTACAATTACTATTCTTCAAAGCATTATTAAAATAATAACCCCAAAAAATATTTTTTTGGAAAAGTGTCCACACCAAATTTGTAAGAAAAATAACTGTACCCTAACTAATTTCCGAATGTATAATGTCTTCTGAGTAAGATAATTGTACCGAGCAAAGGGTATTACATTTAGCCCGATAGACAATTGACGTAGAATAACTTGGTTTACTTTATCAGTTTCACCATCTAGATATTTTTTATATAATTTCTTTATATAGAATCATTAAATTATTTTTTAATACAATTAATAATTTTAATTTTATTTTATTATTATATATAAGAAATAATATATAAAAAAAATTATTACTTAAGTTAAAAAAAATAAAATTATACTTTGATTATATAAAAAATAAATATAGTTTAAAATCTGAATTAAATCTTTGATGAAATTAATTTTTAAAATTTAAATTTATTTGAAAAATATGAAATTATTTTTATACATATTAAATTAATTATTATTTTAAATATTATATTAACTATATTTCAAATTATATGTGAAATATTTATATTTATAAACCATTAATTAAATTTGCTTTTAAATACAAACACAAGTTAAATACAATACGTTGTAAGTTATAAATCAAATACTTAATACAAAAAATAAGTGCTCAAACTATACCGTCTTTCCCAAATAAGTGCCTAAATTATTTTTTGACTCATCCAAGTGGCTAACGTTGCAAATATTACTTTTAGGTGCCCGAACCATCAATAGCATTAATTTCCACTATTAAGTGACAAGTGTCACAATATGATATTTCGATAGGAGACATTTTAAGAAGCTGCTTGATGGCGAAGTTAGTTTGGGAAAAACTGAAACCGTACTCCCCTAACAACCACCTAGAAGAAAGGAACTTCATTGTTTGGCCAAAG